GTAAATAACAAAACTTTTCAAATAAAAAAAGTACAGTTTAAAATAAAAACTTTTTTAACAAGCGAAAAAAAAATGTTTCATTTTTGTTACGCAAAATGAAAAAAATTGATCTACATGTCAAATGAATGAAAAAAACTGGCACAATTATAAAATAAAATAAAATAAAATAAACAAAATGGAGAATTTCGATATGAAAATCGTAAAATTAAAGGAGTTTGACAACATTTTCTTAATTGTTGAATGAAAAAAAAGAGATTTCTTAAATGCTGAATGAAAGAATTGGATACCGAAATGGGTTAAAGGCATGTGGTCTCCCTGGTATCTTGTAATTTTTTCCGAGGGTTATAAACAGTATATATAAGGTCTTCGAGTTTTCGACAAGGAAATAAAATTATTTCAAAATTATTTTACTATGAAGAAAGGTTTATTATACATTCTTATAAATTTTTCATCGGTAGTTATTGCTGATTGGATCACCGTAGAACATGATTTTAAGATGTGCGACCAGGTCGTACCTTCTAATCTTGCGGCGATCCATATAAACGATGATGGCGAAATTTATTCGGCGTCTCTTTTGGTCAGAAAACTTCAAACCATAAGTCATGAGCCACCATTAACAACTTTAAATGTCACTATGTGGGGATGTACTTATGATTGCACCTTCAGCTTTATGGTGAAAATAAACAGAGATGATATTTCGGTTTCGTCGTATACCGAAAACAACAATAACAACTACAAGTGTCATTTAAGTAATTACACGATGAAACTGATTCCAACCCCTAAAATTACATATATTAAAGAAACGCCGAACCCTAATCATGTGTTTCCAACTGAAATAACTGCCAAGTATTGCAAAGAAGGTAAACACCCAGATGCACCCGGATGGTCTATTAATCAAACAGAAAATGTAGCCGAATGTATCGATTATTTGACTGGTAATGAAGTTGGAACATACGCAGCATCTCTTCAGTTCGGTTCAGGCAGCTCATTCAGTCCTGATAATTATCCTGTTGCTACATATCATATGATTAATTCGGCAAACAAGCTATTCAATCATTGGGATAGTCATCATCGAGGGTACCATGAAGCCCTTAAAGACCTAAGTGTTAAAATAACTCCCGATAATCTAAAAGAATTGATCCCACCGCCGCCACCTCCGCGTAAACAAAAGCGCGGCTTACTTTTTTTCCTAGGCATTTCCTTTGTCGTGGTTGCAGGTTTATTATGTGTGGCCGGCTCTGTTTGGGCCTTATCAGAAGCCTCCGTACTCTATGCCGAATATGGTGCTGCAACTGATGCTATAACAACAGCTGTAGGAACGACAGCCAGAGAAGCGGCGGAAGGTTGGGCAGCAGAAGTGGCGGCAGATGGAGCAGTTGTTGAAGGGCAGTTTCAAGAGCTGGCTGCATTAGAGGATTCATTCGAAACATTGGATCAACGTGCAATGGAAGCGGCCGCGAGATACTATGAACGAAGAGGAGACGAAAATGCTAAAAAAATTCTTGAAATCTTGAATAAGAATAACCCTTCCACAAGTAAAAAAAGGGATACGATGCCGATGGATAATATAGGATTTTTTACGGTTAACCTGATGAATGGATTCTTTATGCCAACTATAATGAAAAATCTTCATGAATCATTAACCGGAGAAGATCAACACTATCCAGATATTTCATCATATCTATCAGCCGCAAGCGAACATCTCCAATTCCACTTTGAAGATACATTACACAATAATTTTTTTGCTGCTAACAAGTCAATATTAGCAAGTTTTACTGTTAATCAAAGGATGGATGAATATAAATTTCTTGACAGTGATGATGACGTATATAATTCTACTAAACTAAATACGTATAACAATATGGCGGCATCAATCATAAGCACTTCCTTGAGAAAGTTTAATGTTGAAATATGTGACCCAAAACCTTCATTTTGCGGTCAACCTTGTGATTCTGGTCATATTTATTGTCCAACAATCGGAGATGATAACTGTGTAATAGGTGCCTCAGATGGACAAATAAAAGAACTTAAGTTTCTTCGGGATACCTTTGATATATGTTCAACTAATACTACGAAGACCGGTTGGAATATAACCCATAATCCCAATTGTGATATTAATCAATTTCAATGTCAATAATAGGTCAAACGTGAATGCAATGTTTATTATCGATAATATTTATCGACTTTTTTTTTAAAGACGAAAAATTATAATTATTGTTAAAGAAAACTTGAACTCATTAAAAGAAATTGATAGTTTTTATCCAATTAGAATAAAAAAAAATATTTCCAAGTTATAATTTAAAATATTTATATTGTCCAATCCATTTATCACCATTATTAAAGTTTATAGCTTCACAAACTTGCGAATAAGTTATTTTAATTAAAATATAATACACGAGATAATTTTGGTTGAAAATTTTTTTTTAATAAACATTTTTTCTTAAAATTTATAATAAAGTATGTTAGTAATAAGAAATAAAAGCATGAAGCTTAATTTTTTTGTTTTTATAAATTCACATTTGCGTTAGAGCCAGAGCAGCAATGTTTAGTCTACGAAACATTTGATGACTGATGTTTTGTAAATTTAAATTTTGTAAATTCGTATTTTACCATTCTGTTATCATATACTTTCAAACTATAAAACTTGATACTTTTTACTGCGTCATTCGTAAAGACAAATTTTGTTTGAATATTCAATATTTTTTAAAAATTATTCTACTTAATGTTTTTGTGATTTTTATATAACAAAAAGAAAATTTTAACCAAAATAAAACTTTTTTAATTACATGATCATGCGTATTTAAATCGATTCAAATAATTTTAAAATCGATAAATTATAACATTTTTTTTTTTTTTTTTTTTAAGTGCGGTAGTTTCGCATAATCTTTATTAAATTCAAACTAATTGTAATACAAAGTAAAATCAAATACAAATTTAAGAAAATACGAAAATCTCTATCTAATAAATAAGACCGACCTGCACGGATTGCCTCCGATAGTAAAAGATAAGCCATTTATTATTATTATTTTTTTTTTTTTTTTTATTAATTTCGTGTTGCAATCGCTTCTAACCCTAATTTGAATTATTTACACACACACCGGGTATATATTATTGTACCATTTTTTTTCTTTGCTTCTATTTTGGGGCCTGTATTATACGGTGCTTTTTTCAGGTGGCAGACATGTATTGAAATTGGAGGCATTTTTCATTAAAAATCCGAAAAATTTTAAATTTGATAATTTTTCTTTAACATTATTAAAACTTTAATGACTTCAAGATTAACGTAATACCTCAAATACTCGTATAAATTTTTTTTATAAGTAAACAGTTCTCGAAAGTAGTTCTTTATTATCTCCAAATTGTGAATATTTTTTTCAAAAAAAAGAAAGCTATTACATAAAAATACACTGGAGACATATGGGAGATTTGCTATTAAAATCGAGTTACGGACATAATAAATCATATGTAACGTGATTTTAATAGCAAACATCCCATATTTTCGCAAAATTTGAAAGAAAAAAATCAAAGAATTCAAAGTTATGAGATAGTGAAAATGCATCATTTATTAAGAAACTTCTTAAAAAATCAATTTTAATATAAGCTAATGCATTATGGTATTGTTTTGATTTAATTAAACCTCAAAGCACCGCCCTTTAAAAAGCAGCAAAAAAATTCACGAGGTTTTATTATCGCCACACTCGGTTTGTAAACTTATTCATTTATTTTTTTGATGGGTACGAAGAGAAAGTCGAAGGAAAACACAATGATATTTTAACTTACTACTGTACCATCAAGATTAATAGTCCTCAAAGCAATTTCTAATCAGCGCGAAAAAAAAATAGTGTCAGTAATTCGACAATTGAAAAATCGAAATTATTCAATCAATTAGATTCAATTAATCCATTTAACAATTTTTGGTTTCGATTAATCGATTTTATTTATGGTGCAGCAATTTTTTTGATTAATATTTGAATGCGAACAATCATCAAAATTGGTAAAAAATCATTTGCAAAGAAAAATAATTTATTATTCTTTCTGATATTCTATATTGTGTAGCAAATATTTTTAAAGCTTTTATTACTGTTAAAACATATCTGATTTCCAGTTACTATTTTTCATGTTTGATCAGTTCTGAAGTAAAAGAAATGTGTATTAATTCCAATTGTTTCATTATTTTATTACTTATTGTTCTTCTGCAGCGATCAAACAATTTTTTATTTCGATTTATTATTAAAAAATTACTCTTTATTAATAAAATAATTAGATCCAGCTAGGTTGCTTCGGAAGTATGCGATATGTGCTTCGTTCGATTAATTTTTAGTTTTATCGAACCATCAAATATTTATTATCATATGTTCCTTTATCGAGTTGAATCACTTCAGATGGAATAGTTTTTTTATTATTTTCTTTTAGGCTTTTTTTTTTACTATATACAGTCCTGCAGTAGATACATTCACATTTGGATTTAATACTTCAAAGGCATAATTGATTTTCGATTAGTTTTTTTAGATTAATCAGATATTATTTTTTCTCAAATATAATTAATTTCCAAAGAAAATGTATGATAAAAAAATGAAGTTGATGGATAGTCTCAGGCCGCACTTTCTGCGCCACTAAAAATTTAGTTTCGATTTTCGATTATCTATTAATTTAATTCCGACTCCAATTCATATATCACGGTCCAAATAAAATATAATAAACTATTTAAAAGGCTTTATATATGAATGAATTCTTGTAAAATGTCTGGTCATCTTCAATTACTTATTAACGTTACGTTAAATCAACAATTTTGAAAGAACAAACATTTAAGTAATATTAAAGTAAGCATGAATTATAAAATTGAAACTTCAACATATTCAAAACATTACTTTTGAACATGCAGAAGGAGGACGTGACAGTTTATAAATTTATTTCAAAATATTTTATTAAAGGAGTCAACAAAAAATTTGTAATTATGAGTACATGATTAAAAGTCGTAATTTAAAGCAAATATATTGAATTTATTTCTTTCCAGGATTTCCATTTCTATCTAAATAATAATAATAAAATTAGTTCAATAAATATTACGTTAACGTTAACGTTAAAACATAAAATTAAAATACTTACGACGTCCTTTACAGTCCTTTTTACAATGACCACAACCACGACCTCGACTTTTATCGGGACCTCTAACTTTTAATTCTACATGATTGAAAAATAAGAAATATTTTAAATTTTTTTTTTTGAGAAATCGATTTATGAGAACAATGGTTACCTTCGTTTTCATTAATATCCCGTTTATTACCTGGGTTCTCAACAATTTCAGATTGCATAGGAGAAGCATTTACAGATGACGAATTAATGCAATGGTAACGACTAATAACGTAGTAGATTTTGTTAACAACATTGTGAGTATGAGATATCGAATTTTTTATTTTTTATTTTATTTTTTGTTCTTTTTAAAAAAAAGATAGATTAAAAAAAGGGCAAAAATTATCTGAATTTATAGAAATTTCATGAAATTGCTTTTAGATTTTTGTTTATTCTTTAAATAGGATTCAACAGTCTTTATTTTGTTTTAAATTTTAAAGATTGTTGTCTTTCTGCGTCATGAATTCAAATGAATTCAATAAAATATATCTGATAACGAGAAATGGTTTAATGAATTTAATGTCATCTAATCAATCGATCATAAATTTGCTTAATCCTTTTAAATTATCTTACATAACAGTGTTTCGTAAAGCAATTTTTAAATAACAGTATTGAAAAGTCAATCGCGTCAGTTTCTATTATTCCAGGATATTTAAGGTTTTTATTTTCAATTTATAAATTTATTTTAGGCGAGTTGCGGCTGCATGCAGTAATCAAATTACTGATTGGTTTTTTATTTTATTTTTTTAGCTTCGAAATTAAACACGGTATGTATAATTTTGTTTAACACCTTCCAATTACTTTTGTAAATCTCGAATAAATAATTTACTACCTATATGGTGCGGTAAAAAATTTGGATATGAAATACGGAATAAAGTCTTAGATGTTTTTTAAATCGGTGCTGGCATGAATTTATTTTTATCGTTATATTTATTTTTTATATTTTTATTATTTTTATTTTTTTTATTTTTATTTTATTTTTATCGTTATTTTTTATTTTTTTTATTTATGATTTATTCGTCCTCCCCGTTATTTATTTATTTATTTTTTATCATTATTTTTATCATTTTTGTTTTTTTTTATATGGCCTCCCTCCCCCCGTTATATTTTTTGATTTTTTATATTTTTATGTAATTTTATTCGTTTTATATTATTAATTTATATTTTTTATTATTTTTAATTTCGTTCTTATTTAATTATTAATTTAAATTTTTTTTTTGTAGTTTTTATTTATACATTTTTTTATTCGTCCCCCTCCCCCGTTATTTTTTTTTTCTTTAGTTTTTATATATAATATTTTTTTTTTGATTATTAATAATAACAATTGCGACTGCGTCACCGCGATGAGCCAAAGGGTGTCATATCCAAAAAGGGCGGAATCAGTCCTAACTAAAATTGAAAAAAAAAGCCATTAGATTTTGATTAATAATCAAAAATTAATCAAAAAAGTAAGTAACATAATAAAAAGTTACCCACCTTACTGCGCCGCCACGACGATCCAAAGTGCGAATCTCTCGATATAACCTATAAAATTGTAACCAAAAAAAAAAAATAAATAAAATTATTAATCAATAATTATGAACCGATTTATTATTAATTAAAAAATAATAAATAATTAACAATAGGAATAAACAATACATAATATTAAAAAAAAAAAAAAAAAAAATTTAATCATGCCGCCCGACGGACCGACCGATCTGAATCTTTTTTTTTAAAAAAAAATATTTAAACAACCTTTATTCCTTGAGGAAGATTCCTCCTCTACCTTATCCTCTACCTTTTAGTGTTAGTGTTAGTGTTAGAGTTAGTGTTATTGTTAGTGTTAGAGTTAAAGTTAGTGTTAGTGTTAGTGTAAGGTATATAATAAGGTATATAATAATGGCCGGTCGTTAGCGTTACACAAATTGCCTAAAAAGGAGAATTTTTGAGGAAAAGGAACATTGATCCTCCTTTATTATAGTATGTTAAAGTGTATATCAGTCGATCATGCCCGATCTTTATTAAAAAAAATAAATCTCGTGTTTTTGAAAGGTTTTTCGGACGTAAGCTTGTTATACATTACAAGGATTTATTGAGCTTGTAGATTGTTAAGCGTGATGGCAGTCTAGTTACAGTGTACTTATAACAAAACACTTGGCTAAAAATATTCTTTTTTTTCATTCACATAAGATATCGAAAAAGAAAATTCCAAACTTAGATGGTTGTTGCTCTCTCGTTCAACTCAAAACCACTTGAAATTTATCGACCTGAATCGCAAAACCAATGAATATACGTTAGCACTCTCAACGATTTTAAACGAAATCGAAAGATGTTTGTAAAAATGCTTGAAAAATTCAGAAAAAATTGCAGGTGAGTTTCTTTTATTTTATTTTTTTTTTTTGATATGAATTTAACGCAAATTTATTTAACGCTGGGATGCTGAATAATCATTTCGCAATAGGATGGAATCTCGGATCCAACACTGCGTTCTTGGAAAAGTGCTCGCCATCAACGATAATACAGTCCACCTTCAACACTTCAAAGCCCAACCAGATAGCAATTGACGTTCGCTATTGGAATCCTGTATCAACGTTAAGGCGTGTTACTACGTTCAAAGATACAATTATGATTTTTCACACTCATTAGTAAGCATTTTTGCGTTAACCTTTGAGATTATTTTATCACGAAACGAGAACATAGCGCGGTCTATTTCACCCAATAAGCCAGTTATTCAACCGAAACTCAAACGAATTTTCCTCAGATTTCATTCACAATGTGAAAAAATTCAAAATGAAATCCTGAATTACATTTAGGTACCCAATGAGTATAGGATATGACTTAATTTGGTTGTAATGTTCGAACAGTTCTTTTCAATCGTAGGAAAGCAGGTCAATTAAGCAAGAATATCAGGTGGTGGACAATAATGAAAGTGTAGAACCGGTTGATCTGAAAATATAGAGAATCATGATGACCAAATTGTCGATATATATAATTGGCGTGAATAGCTTGAAAAAATTCTGGAGGTAAGTATAGTAAATGTCCATTCATCGACGGCCACGTATTTTCGCGTTTAGTTTACCCTGTAAAATAATCAAATATATATTTATCCCTAATATATTAGAAAATAAATTAAAGCATCTTTCTCAATGTAATTGGCTAGTGATTGTGAGAACACCCTAAAAAATTAAATCTGAAAAATAAAAATAAATTAATTAAAAAATAGAAGATATTGATTATTAGAACCTGCAATTATAAAAAAAATAAAAAATTTCAAAATTAAATTAATATTAAAAAAAAATCATAAAATTCTCGAAGGGTAGAATTAAATAAACATAAACATAAGGCCATGCATAAAATTTTTAAGATTGACACGGCGAAAGCCAATTTTTTATTTACAATTTATACAATTTTTTGGTTTAATATTTATAATTGTTGTTTGTTTAAATTTTGGACATGAATATTTGTCAAAAAATTTTATATAATTTGTAACTAACGGTCACAGGAAATGTCTTTTCTATTGCTACAAAATTTTCAAATTAATGTATCTCAGCCAATATCGCCTCAAATTTTATAAAATTATAACTATTAGA